CCAGCTCAGCCCACCAGGGGGCGGGGCTGGCTGGCATGCGGTGCTGGGGGATTGAACCGCGGTCCCTGATGCTTTACTAAGCTTGTTCTAAATAGGTGCTTTAGACCACTGAGCCATCTCTCCAGCCCAATTAAGCTGTTTTTAAAAACTCGAAGCAGAGACTGCAAGTATGCACCAAGGACTGCAGTGACTCAGCAAAAAAGGACAGAAATGAAGCAGAAGAGGGAAGAAGAGCTGTAGTCACTGACAGTAACTGAGTACCAAGGGGAAGCTTGGTCCTTGCCTCCCCATGACGCTGCTCCTGAGGGTGGCACCAACTTGTGCTCAGTAGACCAGTGTGCCTCCCTCTCACCACAGTTCCGAGGATCCCACCCTAAAGACATCACCAAAGAGTGGGTCTCCAAGACATACACAAAAAAGCCCATCAGATCCGGGCGTGGTGGCACACCCCTGCAATCCCAGCACTCGGGAGGCTGAGGCAGGAGAATGTTGAGAGTTCAAGATCAGCCTGGGCTACAAAGTAAGCTCAAGGCCAGCCTGAAATGCATAGCAGGTCCGTGTCTTAAAAAGAAAAAAAAAATGTTCATCATGGCATCAGTGATAACAAAAGAACTGATTCAATAGGAGGGGAATGGATGGATGCACAGCTACTAGAAATTCATTGGCAAAGATTTAAAACATAGTCAGCTACTTGTGATACCATGTATATGAGGGGGGAATATAAACTTTTTTGTTTAAATATGTTTATGCATTTGGGGGTTTTGTTGTTGTTTGTTTTTTTTTTGTTTTTGTTTTTGTTTTTTTTTACATGGGGTCTTGCTATGCAGTTCAGACTGGTCTTGAACTCACTTTGTAGCCTAGGCTGGTCTCAAACTTACAGTGATCCTCCTGCCTCAGCCTTCTCAGTGTGTATTTTTTAAATGTCACCATGAAATTCAAAGTCCAGTTCTGATGGAAGAAAGATGGATGATTTCTAGTGTTTAGACTTTTCTCTAGTGATCATATATTTTATATCAGAAAAAACAGTAAATATTTATTTTTTTTTAAATACCTTCCCTAAAATCTTTTATTTAAGATTATGACTATAGTCTCAGGGAAAGCCTGGTGAAGTTTAAAAGACTCAGGATATAAAGATCCAACTCTACAGAGCCCCTCTTCTGAAAAGGATGAGAGTGAAGCTGCCACGGGCTGGCCGTCCCTGGGCCTTGTGGAAAGTGTCCCTGGAGAATTGCTTCCCTGTGCCCACAGCAACCAGGGCACCTCCAGCAACCTGCTCAGGTTTTTGGCATCTTCACCAGAGGATCTGAGGAAAGAAGAGAGCCCTATTCTCGTTTCAGAAGGAAGAGGTCTTCCAATAAAGCTATCAAAAGGACTCAAAATCAGCAACATAAATTCTGAAACTCAGGCCATAAGTTAAGTTCCACAACCGTGCCTGTTTCTCAAGAATAAATATAAAAAGCAGTCTCTCGGAGCCATCTGGTGGCCAGCCTGACTATTACAGGACCGAGCAGCAGACCCACGCTTATTCTACTGAGCCATCTCCCGGCCTGATTACCACCTACAGTGCCGGCCATCTCAGGTTCCCCAGTGGTTTCTCCCAGTGGTTTCTCCCGTCTATTCAGGGAGCTCTGGCCGGGAGCCCCAAACTGCCCATGTGTGCACCACACATGATGGCAGCGGCGGCAGGGCAGGATGGTCCCAGGAATGTGCAGTGTGTGCAGGCCCTCGGGGCGCTGTCACAATGGTGGATAGCTCTTCCTCCAAGAATAGTTACTGATTTTATAAAGCTAGGAGACACTTCCCATTTGCAATCAGTGAGCCTCGTGCTTAAAAGTAGTTTTATTTATCAATGTCGTATTAGTTATCACCAGCTTGGGCACAATTTCAAAATAGAGCTCTTGTTGGATTCTGGCCATAAAATTCTTTGCAAGCATATTAAGATCTTGTAAAATAGCAAAATTTCACTAATAGTTTAGAAAAAATACTAATCACTAATAAACCAATTTCATACTCAAAGTGGTGGCCTAACATTTGGAAAGATGAAATACCCTCTGCAACACCTAAAGTACAAGTGAGTCTCAGGGTCTCAGGTGTCAGAGAAGGTGAAGTCTTCACCCCACAACCTGACCAAATGGCTCTGGGAGTGAATTAAGTGTGAAAAGAGGTCAGTGTTGCAAATTGGATGGCACCTGGAATGCTGAAGTAAGAGGATGTGGGTTCTAGGAAAAGATTATAGCTTCCCCTCAGAAAAAGAACCAAGCTAGAAACCTCGCTGTTCTGGGCAGGAGTGTAATAAGCAGGCAACAAACAAATGAAGAAAGTGGAATAAACTAGCACAGCTCTCCTGGAGGGGTCTATGTTCCTGTCTCCACCCCATCCCAGCTGAAAGCTTATTTCAGGAATGGATTCCTAGGTTGGGTGGAAGTGCACAGCAGGAAGTGACTGTTCTGGTCCCAGATATGTGAAGGGGAGCATTTTCAAATACATGAAATAAACCACAGCAACCTAGGCATTGGGGTCCCAACCAGATAAACTACAGAAGAGCAAGGGAAATCAGGGTTTCAAAGCTAAACTGGGAAAATGAATGTGACTCCTTGGTCACCTGGCCAATCTGTAAGAACATTTTTTTCCCCTCCTAACCTGACAAGACCCACACAGTAAATGGCTGCTGTTAGGCAAACACTAAGATGGACAGAGAGGAAATCTGTTTCACGCTTCTCAGAGTCTTGGCAACTCACTTCAGAGAGAAGTCTTCGTTTTCCCTCTTCAAAGGGCAAGCAGAAGAGAAAGGGTGGAATGGAGGTCAAGGCCTCTCTTGTCCACAAAAATAGAAGAGGAAGGAAAAAAAAAATACTCTGATCAATGAAAATTCAAAACCATAAGCTCCCCTCACTTAAAAAGAGAGCCTTGCTCCCTCCAAAGCACCCCAGGACTAATAAAGGTTAGTACTGAACTGGGTCACCCAGGCTGTGACAATGATGTATCAGAACAGGAAGAGGTGACGTTCCAACCTCCGGCTCCAGCTTCCCACCTGTTCTGACCTGGTGGAAAGCAGCAGTTACGACAGCAGCACAGGAAGGTCCTCCCCAGACCTGCGCAGCAGCTTCTGGTGGTTGTGGTCCACAGACCACTGCTGGGGCAGGTGCCTGGGCTGCATGGAGTCCAGGAAGTGCTGCCGCCAGCGGCGCTCCAGCTGCACAAGGGCGCGCAGCCCGCCCCGGGCGTGACACTGCACCACCTTTAGCCCGTGGGGCACATAACTCTCGTTGGAAATCCTGCCAAGACACAAAGTGGAACAGGTGTGAAGGAAATAAGCACAGACACTCTCCCAGACAGTTTCAGGACTGCAGGACAAAGGCATAGGAAGAAGGGGCTAGGATCCTGAAGGCCTGGGTACTGGAATGTTTTAAAACATCCTCTTTCTCATCTCTGCTATTCTTATTACTAACTTTTGTGGTGCTGGGGACTGAACCCAGTGCCTTTACACTAAGCTACATGCTCCAGCTCTTTTTATTCTTTGAGACAGGTTCTCCGTATAACGTCCAGGTAGGACTTAACTTGTAACCTGCCTCAGGCCCCCAAGTCCTGGAATTACAGTCATACACCAGCATGCCCAGCTCTGCCTTCTTTCGAAGTTTCAACAGACAGTTCACAATTCAACAGAAGACGTTTGGGAGTGGGGTCTATACTTGGAGGGAGGCCACTGTATCATTTGCTGCCACCACTGGGATGGCCCTACTATTTGGCAGAAGATGGGTGCAGAGTTCCGGTCTTTGCTTGAGTCCAAAATTTCTCAGTGACCACTCTTCTCTTACGTTTTACTCTTTATTACTTTGAACCCTTTTGACATTAAACCGAAGCTATGAAATCATCCTGTAGTCCTAGCTACTCAGGAGGCTGAGGCAAGAGGAACACAAGTTCAAGCCCATCTAGAATACAAAGTGAAACCCTATTTCAAAAAATAAACAAACAAACAAACAGAGTGGGCATGTAGCTCAGTCACCCTGAAGTCCAACTGCCAGCACTGAAAAAGCAAATCAGCTCCTGTGGCCTGAGTTTCCTAACATTACCACCTCAAGGTACCTGCATGATGTCATTTCTCTTTGGTGCCTTCTACCCTGCAGTAAGAATGTCAGAGCTCCTGGAGAGCCACACTGCAATGTTCTTCTGTGCCTGGTGGCACAAATGGTGCTACTAAAGAGGAGTGGAGCCCTGCTTGTCCTAATGGGCAGACAGAGAACTTTGAAAACTGTTGATGCCATGTGCACAGAGCCTTTCCTCATGCAGGAGTGCTGCCCCTCAAGGAAGCACTGTGTCCTGCCAGCCTCTGCCCATCCGTGCCCCACTCTAGCCCCTCCCACACCCCTGGCCTGGCAGTGTCAGTGCTTTCTGCATAACTGTAGCTGCTTTATTGCTTAACTAAGAGCCCACTAGTGGCCTGCCTCCAAGTGCCTGCTCTCAGTCTCAACCAGCACCTGTCCACCAACTTGGCAAGGTGCAAACCTTCATCAGAGGTTTGGGTCTGGCTGCAGTGGGAGGGCTACTTTAGGAATTTCATTTGGGAATTAATTGATGGAGCCAGTTTCATTGATTTTAATATGACCATAGCATATTAGGTCATATTATTTATGACCTAATTTATTTAACATAAATTAGAATATTTATGTTAGGATATCTAACCTCAGGATATTTAACATAAAACTTAGAAAGCAACACTTGTTCTATAAATGTGCAGAATAGTAACAGGGATAAAATTCAACTGTAATATTTTTAAACTTTAAGAGTTCTTGGGCCAGTGAGATAGCTCAATGGACTAAGAGTCTGCTTTGGTAAACCCAGGGACCAGGATTCAATCCCAGGTCCTGCAAACCATGCTGGCTCCGCCCCGGGGGGCGGGGGCACTGAGTTGGTGATCAAATCTGGGTGTGGCGGCACATGCCTGTAATCCCAACACTGGGTAAGATGAAAACAGGAGGATCACTATGAGTCCAAACTGTAAAGTGAAACCCTGTACCAAACACAAAAAATAAAAAAAAAAAAAAAAAAAAAGATTATAAACTTTAAAGTTCTTATAAGATACTAGTATCAGTAATTACTAATAAAAAATCTAATACCTCTGGGCATGGTGGCACAGGCCCATAATCCCAGCACTTGGGAGGCTGAGGCATGAGAATCGTGAGTTTGAGATCAGCCTGGACCTCTAAGTGAGCTCAAAGATGGCCTGAACTGCACAGAGAGACCCTGCCTCAAGACAAAAAACTAAAACTTATCTGATCAGGCTATCAGAAATAATTAGGCAATTTATGTAGTTTATTAAGTGGTGGTACACAGCACAGTATATCTATAAATACTGCATCTGTTCAGTAAATATTTGCAACACCTATGATAGATCAGTAGCATGTGTGAAATAAACTTTTGTGTTTGAATAAAATATTTTGCTGCTATAGTTTTTTTTTTTTTTTTTGATAACAGAAAACTAGTATCACTACCAGTCTTATGGACCTCTGCTCCTAAAGAGCTGGAAAGCAACACCATGCACAGCTGCCTGGGCTCTTACATCATCTGAGTCAAGCGCCCATTTACTTCTCAGGATCATAGAACATCGTTAAGTCACTTTAATTTAACTATGTACTTACTGGGAAGACAGGAGAAGCTAGGAAACAAGGGAAAATAGTTGCTAGGACAGTAATTCTGCTCAGCTTTCCACTCTAGGACTAATCCCTAGGAGTGCAAATGAGATAAGAAATGGAACTCTCCGGCCAAAGTTCTCATCAACTTATATAGAAGGCCAGAGACACAAAATCATACACACTGTTCTACCCAGGCAGTGGAATAAGTGCTTGCCTGGCAGGTGCAAGGTCCTGAACTCAATCCCTCATACCACAAAAACAACAACAACAAAAATCAGGGTATCACTGAACAACTGGGTTTTTTTTGTTGTTGTTGTTTTTTTTTTTTTTTCCGGAACCAGGGATTGAACCCAGGCCCTTGCACTTGCCAGGGAAGCGATTATTCCACCGAGCCATCTCCCCGGCCTGAACAACTGTTTTACCTTACTACTGACTTTAGCATCTACCTCTACACAGAACAACTTCGCATCTGTGCTCACCATGCTTTGCATCTGAGCACTCTTGTGCTCACCATGAAATGACTGGACTTAAAATATATGGCCTTAAAAGGTACAGAGTACCCTCACAAAAGGCCAATCTCCTACGCAAATGAAACTCCCAGACAGATCATTCTCAAACATCCTCATGGTGTCTTATGCCAGCAGATACCCAGTGGGCTAAGTGTGCATCTAGGTGCTGCCCCTGCCCTGGAAGCATTCTTACGAAAGAGCGAGGGCTGGCATCCCTGGGGCATTCCTCAAACCCTCCTTGGACAGGAACTGCTGTACCTTGTCTCCAGGCTGGCAGCCTCTTGAAGCATCTCATCTGTGATGGCATCTGTGCTGTAAAACTCTCTCAGAGCCTGCAGCAGCTCCTCCTTCCGATGGGCAGGGAGGCTCTCGGCATTAAGCAGCGCCCTGGCCCCAGAGCGCACCTGCCGGCGCTCGGGATCCTCCAGCAGGCGCAGGCCCTCCTCGGAGCCAATCGGGGCCTGGAACTCCTTGGCCAGCTGCTGCTTCAGATGGTTGTCATAGTAGTTGGAGATGGCATGGCAGGAAGTACAGAGGAGCAGCACATCATGGGAGTTGTGGTCCTTCATTTCAATGGGGAAGTGCTTCCGGTACTCATGTGGAATCACATTCTTCCTGGAAGAAGCACAGCCAGACAGCCTGCTTATTAGCACAGGACACAGAACACACATGAAGCCAGCAGGTAGGCTGCTAGGAGTCCATCCTGGACGTAACCATGTCTGAGAAGCTGTGGGTGCCATGCTCAGCAGAGAGTATAAGACGGTACCCGACTGCTCTTATCTCACACTACCCAAGCCCTGCACACCTCCCCCCTCCCTGTGCTGCAAGTTCAAGCTCCCTGAAGACAGCTCCCTGAAGACAGCTTACCTGCCTCACTCGGGGGCTGGAGCAGGGAGAGGACAATGACCAGCTGGGGGATAGCACATTCCCAGATGGACAAGTCTCAGAGAAATGAGATGCTCTAACAGTTTCTGACACCCGGAAAACAGCTCTCTCAAGCCTGATAGCCTGAACAAGCCAGTTTCTTTCATCTGAGAAACCCTTACTCTGCCACTATATCCCTGGTGCACTGAGGTCCATCATTATTTTTAAAGGAGAAATAAGAGTAAAACTTTTGGAGAAACTATTTGCTTCATTTTGCAAGGAGAGAAACAAGAAAAGTGAGTTACTGCACAGAGAGAGTAGCCCTCAGGGCCGGTGGGCAGCCTCAGTTTCAGTGTGTGGGGACCTGACTTGGAAGAGCACCCTTCAGGTCATCTGACTGCTCCTGACACAGCTTGGAGAGCTTCAGGGCTTCGATGGAGGGTTTAAGGACACAATTTCTGGAGAAAGTGGTCTTCAGTCTTTCATGAGCAAAAGGGAGCCACTTTCTCCCAGCAGACTGTTATCACTACTGAGACTAGTGCTGCATCCCAGGGGCCAAGAACCGGCTCAGGAGGGATAAGGGCCCCTGGAGGTGGCCAGGCAGAGCACTAAGGCCCTTGGATAAACAGGGTGGCCCAACGCGCACTCACCGAATGTAGGAGTCTTTTTTGCCACACACCACACACACGTTCTCCTTAACCATCAGGTAATAGTCTCCTTGGGACTCAGGTCTCCCTGCAGGTTCAAACTGTAGCTTGACCACAAAAGGGTCTTCACTCACCAGCTCTTAAGAGAAAAGCAGCAGCATCAGTGTCGGGCTGCATTTCCCCCGACCCAGGAAGACGCATTCTCCTGAGTGCTCCCCTCCCACCAGGCCCTGTGTGTCCCTAATTACATAAAACGTGAGAGCAGAACCTCACACCTCCAATGCCTTTGTCCAGGTACCACTGAGCCTTCCTCCGGTCACAGGTGCAGAGAGGTTGCCCATCAGGAGCATGGAGAAAGCAGTTGTCATAAAGAGGTGACTTTCTGCAGGGAGGGAGAGAGCTCATGCTGCAAGCTAACTGCTGGAACAGTTAGCAGAGTACTTGTTCAGAGTAACTGGCAGAGTAAGGGCTTCTCAGATGAAAGAAACTGGCCTGTTCAGGAACCTGCTACTTCCCACACTATCTTCTGACTGACTCCAACTACATTCAACATCAGGGTCAGACACACCAAGTACAAAGACAAACAGAACAAGAAGCCGTGTTCTGTCCTCTACTGGCTCTGGGTCAAGGAGCACTACAAATGAATTTGTTGGTACCTCTTGTTTTATGCCAGGAATTGGACCATGAGGACAAGCTCCGCTGTGAGTGCAAACAAGAACAGCACAAGAAAAATGACTCAAAGCCTGGATTAAACAGAATAAATTAAAACTGTAAAAGTTCAAGCAAATGTAAGGAGGGCCATACAAATTTATTTCTTGCTCACATTAGTTCCTTCTGTTTAATCTTCCAATTAATAAAAGCACTTTTCTGCAGGGAGCAAACTTCTGCTTCAGGGCATGTATTAGTCAGATCATCCTACAAGAGAGCTACAACTACACAGGAAGCTTCTCATTCCCTAGAAAATAATGGCTTAGTGGTGGATGTCATTCTAAACCATCAAAATACCAAATGAGGAAGAAATCTCATATGTTTCTCCTGACAAGCAGAAGGCACTTCATATTACTCATTTCTACAGCTATCCTAAACAAAGAATAATAATTATGCTCCCACTTATAGATGAAGTTATAAGTCAAAGGTCATTGTGGACTCAGTGACAAAGCTAGACTACACACACCTGATCTCCACTCCAACCAGTAACAAAGAGAAACAGAAAGAAAATATACAAGTAAAGCAAAGACTGGTTAAATGTCCCCAAAGGCAAGGAAGGAGAGCCTCTACTTTCTGACCCAAGCTGCTCCCAGACCAACAGCAAAGCGCCACACTCTCTGTGGTCCCTGCTGCTGTCAACCACGGAACAACTCACTTACCTGGCAGAATAGCCCACCCCAAGGGGCTTCCTTTTATTTTTCCTGGGGTCTCTCCCCTGGTGGGTGCCTGGCACCGCTCCACTACTCTTAGACTTATTTCTTGGCTTCTGGTGAGATCCTGTTGCTTGCCCATTCCCTTCTTCTCCCAATCTGCCAATCCCTTTGCTTCGGAATGGGATGTCTACCATATCCCAGCACTTCTCCAGGACCTCTCTCCAGCCAGTGTGGCCACTGCTTGCTTCTATGGGAGAATTCCTAGAGAAAGGATATCCAAGAAGATGAAGGAAGAGAGCCACTGAAATCTGGGCATCCCTGGCAGCATAAGTCACCTGTGGAGAAAGTGAGGTGTCACAAGGAATCCAGAAGATAAGCCTGGGTGCAACCTCAAAATCAATCACAATGACACAGAAAACTTTTAGCGTCATAACTCAACATTCATAATAACCTAGGCACCATGGACTTCGTAAAAACTTTAAGGTGTAAAATTTACATCTGTAAATCATGGAAAATTTCAAATTATAAGACAGTAAGTAGGATTCTACAATGAACTTTCATGTTCTCTCTGTGTTTAACTAAAATAATCATCTAAAATTATTATCATGTAGGGCTGGCCAAATAGCTCAGCAGATTAAAGTGCCTGCTTAAGCAGATGCAGGGGCCGGGAGTTCAATTCCCTGGCTTGCTGTGCCGGCCCCACCCCCCAGGGCAGCATGGTGGCATGTGCCTATAATTCCAGCACTTGGGAGGCTGTAAACAGGAGGATCATTATGAGTCTGATCTACGCAGTGAGACCCTGTACAACCTGTACACCCTGTCCTAAATACAAAAATAAATAAATAAAAAAAATTTATTATGTAAAACTTCATATCAGAAATTGCTATAGAAAGCAAACAGGGGCCAAGGAGAAGGCTCAGTGGAATAAGCGCTCCCTGGCAAGCACAAGGGCCTGAGTTCAATCTCCGGTTCTGCCAAAAAAAAAAAAGAAAAGAAAAGAAAAGAAAAGAAAAGAAAAGAAAAGAAAAGAAAAGGAAAGAAAGAAAGAAAGAAAACAAACATAATTTGGTTCTTAGAATTATCTCACATGATAACGGTAAATTTCTTTGAGACAAGGTTTCGTTATGTAGTTAGGCTGATTTTGAACTCACTTATGTAGCTCAGGCTGGTCTCAAAATCACATTGATCCTCCTGCCTCAACCTCTGAAGTGCTGGGATTACAGGTGTGCGGCACCATACCTGGCTGATATCAATGTTAAGACACTATTGCTAAATCTTTGTATTGATGACATTTTGGAAAGATGAGGCTAAAACCTAGACCTATGACAGGTGATGGGCAAAAAAAACCCAAAACAATTTGGTGTTAGCCACAGCAACCAGGAAAGCACAAAAAAATGAAAGCAGCAGGAATTTACTAGCAGGTTGAAAGCAGGAAGATAGTGGAGGTCTCCAGAAAGAACAACTATTAACTCCACATCTCCTCTAACCACAAGCAGGGCAACTACCTCTCCTTATTTCAAAACAGATAAAAGTTTAAGTCATATAATAGTTAAGCCACAGAGGCTCTGGCCCACATCACACAAGGCACCATCAGGAACTAGGCCAAACAGCCAGCAATTTCTCATCCTCAATAAATTGAAGAGGTAGGATCTACAACAGACTCAAAACACAAAAGCTAGCTATACCTAGAGGACATCACTGTAAAGTAGTCATATCCTAAGGGCTTTCAACACTAGCAATAAAGATACCTACCATAAACAATTTACAAACATCAACTTAGGATTTAAACTTTAAAAAAAGAAGAAAATGAGAAGACATGGAAGCAAAACGTAACTCCAGACCTCTAGCTACCAAAGGCAAACCCATGGAGCAAAGAAGTGGTACAACTTGAAAGTCTTCCACTTAGATTCTCTGAACTGGCAACAGTATAAGTAACAAAGCAAATGAACAAGGCTGTAGAAAAAAATCACGACCAAAATAATCTCTCAGATAGCTTCAAAGATGATGACCATAATGAATGGCATGATTTGTGAATCTAGAAAAGACACAGATTTTAAAAAATTGAGGAGCCCAGGAAAATAAAATATGAATGCCCCAAATAAGAAAACAATAAATTCATGAATTAAATTCAATCAGATATCCAGGATATTAAAAATTTTATTCAAGGGGCCAGAGAGATGGCTCAGTAGATACGTGCTTGCCTCGCAAGCTCAAGGGCCTGAGTTCAACACCTGGTTCTGAAAAAAAAAAAAAAATTATTCAAAATATATGCAGCAGAATCAACCAATGTAAGGATAAAACATCTGACCTACAAGGAAAGACTGTGGTTAGTGATCATTAAAAAAAAGACTTCTTAAAAATAGCAAGGGGTTGCAGTAGAATACCCATCTCTGACAAAACAAAACAAAACAAAAAAGGGGATATAAACAAAGGACTGTTCTGTAGTGGA